TCAGAGGCCATATTCATCTCCCACCATCATCTCTCCCTTCAACACTGCCTCTCCTCTCTCATTCTATCCCTCTATCCATCTGTCCTGGTCTCTCGGGAGGCCAGCCCAATTAACCTGTTTAAACAGCCATCTGAGCATCCCCTCCATTCCAATGTGGATGTGTGAGAGAGAGCCAGTTCACTGAGCCAGGATCCCTGTGCCAGGGCTCCATCCACTGCCTTTCCCGTGACTCCACCTCCACCTCTCCTTCCAGCATCACTATCATCAGTTTCCTCCTCTCCCTCCTACATCATCCTCTCCTGTTCACAATGAGCCTGATTGTAACAGATATCAGAGCCTGTAAAATGGGGTTTCTTTTCTTTTTGGTAGGGCAGAGTGACATCTGATGCATTCAGTGCTCCACACTTTGAACAGTTCCAGTGACTACAGCTATAAACAGTGTCGCCTCCAGAAATATTTCTTTAGCAACCGCTATCTGCCCACAAGCTTATTTCCCTTTCATTTGTCCCTCCTTTAACATCCTTCCATCCCTTTCACTGTCTGATTGCCACCTCTGCACATCCTCTCATCTGCCTCCCTTTCTACCATTCCCTTTTTCTCCTTTTCATTCTGTCACTCCTCAGCTTTGCCTCCCCCTCCTCTTGACTTCTTTTTCCCCCTTTCTCACTTTCCTTTCAACACTTGTCAGCTACTTCCTGTCAGGCTGTCCAAAGAACAGTATAAGAAGGTCACATCTCCTCCTGTCCTCCTTGTCCTTGCCTTGTTGGAGAAAGATGGGAGCTTTAATTAGAAAGGTGTGAGGGGAAAAAGGGTGAAAATTAGGTTTGTGATATTGCTCTAGATGTTTAAGAAAAAGCAAAAGCAGGGGAGAATTTTACTCCTGTCCATGTAATCATGATGAAGAAATGATTGACTGTGTTCATTTACTGTGGAGCCCAGCTCTGGTCGAATTTTCCACATTTCAGCGGGGTGATTGTTCTCATCGACTAGACAGCAGAGAAGTGCTTGGCTGGCTGTTTGGCACACATGGGTGTCTGTCTTATTTGCCAGATCAATGCACACCCTGGGCCCACTGCTTTAGACAACTTGTTAATGTGCAGCACTGTGCCGCTGGGCTTCATTGCTTTGTTGTAGGCTGATTTTTATAATCTCTCTTATAGCAGTATTGACCCAGCTGAGTGAAAGGAGATCCATTGGAGGTCTGTGTGCTTTTGTGCATGTGTGTGTGTGTGTGTTTTTACGTGTTGTTTGGACGAGCAAAGTTGGCACTGTCTTTTTCTTTAATTGGTGCAAGAACGAGACCCTCTGGGTACTCCATGCACAGCCTGTCACTGCATTTGTGTGTGGGTATTGGCGCAGTTAGTTCAGCTTGTCACGGTCAACACACACAGGCGATCGTTGAAAATAGAACGCTCATACGTGCGCACACAAGGAGTGATTATGTTTTACACTTACAGTTACCTCTTACTTTGGTATTTATTGAATTAGGCAGCTACCGATTTTCATTGAAAGAGGAGTTTTATTTCAATGTGTTGCTCCTGTTATTTAGACATTAACCACATATCTGGATTAAATAATGCACTGTTTTGATTTACAGTTAGATTTTTAAAAAATGAAGTAAAAAGAAGATTAATCTATAAATTCCCTACAGGAGAGGCCAGATCTACATTAATAAACGAGGCACACACAGCTTTAAAGGAGCTGTTTGTAGGGTTTTCTAATTTAGAGTATCTATTAATGCTACAGGACATCAATCAATGCAGGAGAGTCCTGATTCAGCAGAGAGATAACCAGTCTGTTATCTCTCTGTCGGCTCCGTCTCTTTACTGCAATGAGGGATCTCTCGGTAATCATGACGGCCTGATGCTGGCAGCTGGGGAAGAGGATTCTATAAATGAGGAGAAAAATAAGCTGAGTGTGTTGAAAAAGCATTGGTTCATGGTGTGTCTAAACACAAACTAGACCTGACTGACTTGTTGACTGGTCATCCTGAAATTGGAGATTGGTACAACCTTTGTGCAACACCAACACTGATCTCTCGTGGTAAAGAGAGAGCTGAGCCGGAAGGCAAAATTCTCGATTTACCAGTTGATCTACGTTCCTACCGTCACCTATGGTCACGAGTAGGGTTGTCACGGTGTGAAAATTTAACCTCACGGTTATTGTGACCAAAATCGTCACGGTTTTCGGTATTATTGCGGTATTTGTTTTTAAACGTGTTACATTTTCACACAACTAAATAAACCCTGTATATCAGGAAAATATTGTCCTCAGTTTACGTCTGAATTTTGCCTAAAATTTGATATTTTGTAATTATGTTGTTTATTTGATTACATTTTTCCCCTTTAGTCTTTAAAATACCAATATTTGACCATAACTTATTTTTTTCTGTTTGATGTCATCATTTTAAAAATATTAGATCAGATGTTCCTCAGTACTCAAGTACCCTTCTAATCAGATACTTTTTTTTTACCCTTACTTGAGTAATAAACCCTATATCAGGAAAATATCGTCCTCGGTTTGTGTCCTTCCAGTGAGCTTTGCAGATATGAGAAAATGTCATCAGGCAGTAATCATTATTAAATTCATGATTATTCTCGGAGAGAGACCAACTCTTATCTGCCCCTGGGAGCCCCGTAATGCATAGCGTCATTTCAATATGGGGGTGTCCGCGACACGGTTTATATGCAGGTAGCGGGCGATGCGGCTGCCTTATATAGCGACTCGTTGCATTCTCCCTCAACCCAAATCCTCGGATCACGCATTTTAGCTAAAACGCTAACGTTAACTTGCCTTGCGTTGACTGTAGAGTTGTGGGTGATGGTCATGCAGATGTGTCATGAGATTTGAAGCGTTGCTGCCTTTCACAGACACTTTTTCTGCATGTGCTGCAAACTGGATAGCCGTCTTCTATTAACTGTCCCTCGGCATTCTTCGAATATCCAAAAAAAAATGTCCATACTTCCCACTTTGTCTTCTTTGAGGGATAATAAATGTCATGAGCACTGCCATCTCCTCCTTTAGCCATTATTTCAGCTTTAGCTTCAAGAAAGTTTTGGTTGTAAACAACAAAGTGCGCATGTGCCGCCGGCTACTTCAGCAGATGATACGGTGGCTGGTAAGGGTCACTGCGCCTACACCGCAGCCACGGTAATCCACCGAGATAATATAGTTTTTTTTAAACAAGACGGTTATCATTATTATCAACTTTTTTACCGGGGTTTACCGCTACACCGGTTACGTGACAACCCTAGTCACGAGCTTTGGGTAGTGACCGAAAAAACGAGATTGCGGATAAAAGCGGCCAAAATGAGTTTTCTTCTGCAAGGTGACTGGGCTCTCCCTTAGTGATAGGGTGAGAAGCTTGGTCATCTGGGAGGGGCTCAGAGCAGATCTGCTGCTCCTCCACATCAAAAGGAGCAAGACAAGGTGGCTCCTGGACACCTTCCTGGTGAGGTTTCTGGGGTACATCCATACAAGAGGAGACCTAAACGGAAGATCCAGGACACGCTGGAGGGACTATGTCTCTCGGATTTCTAGGGAATTCCTCTGGAGCAGCTGGCCCGAATAGCTGGGTAGAGGAAAGTCTGGGTATATCTGCTTAGGCTGCTGCCCCTGCGACCCAACTCTGGATAAGTGGAAGAAAATGGATGATGAATGGATGTTGCACAAAGGGCCACCAATCTTTAAAAGTCTTCAACATCACAGAACATTTTTATTTGTCACACAAGGTCATAGTTTTTCTGTTTGCCATCTCATATTTTTTTTTTATATTTTTATGGGACTGAACCAGGTGAATGTTGTACAGATTTCTCTTGCTGCCAAAAGATGAAAGCTGGGTGATTATTTGGTTTTTGCTTTTTACTAGCATACCTTTTTTTTTTTTCCCTGCGCATACCTTTTTTTTTTTTCCCTGCGCAGTAGCGCAGTGGTTAGAGCTGTTGCCTTGCAGCAAGAAGGTCCTGGATTCGCTTCCCGGCCTGGGGTCTTTCTGCATGGAGTTTGCATGTTCTCCCTGTGCATGCGTAGGTTCTCTCCGTGTACTCCGGCTTCCTCCCACAGTCCAAAAACATGACTGTTAGGTTGATTGGTCCGTCTAAATTGTCCTTAGGTGTGAGTGTGTGTGCATGGTTGTTTGTCCTGTGTGTCTCTGTGCTGCCCCGCGATGGACTGGCTTGGCTCTCTGTCCAGGGTGTACCCTGCCTGATTGCCCGTTGACTGCTGTTGGGAGATTTTCTTAAATATTAATAGTAATTAGAGAGAGAGAGAGAGAGAGAGAGAGAGAGAGAGAGAGAGAGAGAGAGAGAGAGAGAGAGAGAGAGAGAGAGTGTTTGTTTGTTTGTTTGTTTGCATACTTTGCTTCCTAAGTGGTTGAAATTATTCAAAGTTTCCATCAATTACCAGGAAGACATGTTTTTATTTATAAGACACACAGCACGTAGTCGTCAGAGAACAAAATCATCATTAACTTCTCTTGAAGGGTTCATTTGCAAGAACAGATCCGTCATTTTGATCAAAAACCCCAAACTGTATTTTGACTAATATGATAAAAGTAAATAATAAAAATCTCGGTGTATAAATAAGAATATCTGTTTTCTAAATGAACTCTTCATTTATAAAGTTTTGCAATGTTTTTGGACAAGGAATTTAGAAGAAAAGAAACCTTTTTTATTATTTTTTTTTACGAGGAACGTTGCAACTATGAGACTTTTTTCCAAATCAAACCAGATCTCCAGCCTGTAGATGAGGTTTTCTGTTACTAAACATCTTTTTCAGCTTGCTTCCATAAACCTTTAAAGGAAATCTAATCTATGTTTTTTTTTGCACATATTCATTTGAAAATCAATCTGTTGTTCAGCTATAGTCAGAGGTCCTTGTGATGATTTGATCTAAAATAATGTGTCGGACTAGACATGAGTTAATGTAGTCCCAAATGTTTGCCCCGTTACCCATCTCTGACAAACGGCATTCTGAGCTCTTTTCTATTATTGTGTCCACAGTGACGTTTGACGACTGCATGGAGAATGAAGGCGTGGTTTTCCAGAGCAGCGACCCCATCTTCAGCGTGCGGCAGGATGGGTTTATCTTTGCCCGGGGAGATGTAGCCAGCCTGGATGAACCAGTTCAGTTTAAACTGACAGCAAGTGGCCCATACACAAATGTCTGGGAAACTGTGATTCAGCTGGCGGTGACTGACCCACCATCACCTGAGCAAAATGACAATGAGGTGAGTTACACATAGAAATGGGATGCATCAAATTTCAATTATCAACGCAGAGCTTTCGTTTCCCGTGGTCTGGGGATGCTAACGGCCCAGAATCAGGTCAAAACTCCTCAGGGTTTTAGAGAAATAGAGAGATTGGGACAGAGAGGCAGCAATGGCAGATGGTTAAAAGTGATAGAATCACGCTGCCACATGGGGGGGAGAGAATGTTTCCCTCAGCCTTAAGCTGTTATTGGAAAACATCTTGTGCCTATGCACCCCGGGGGCTCTTGACTCTTCCGTTTCTATTTAAAAGCTGTCAGAGGTCAGGTGAAGCCTGAGCAGCCAGAGCTGAGCTGTCCCCATAACCACAGAACCACACTGCCTGATCAGATAGTCAATACCAACAGCAGCTGTAATCAGATCAGCCGGTGACAACACAAATAATTAGGCCGTGTCCACTTACTCACTGCAGCTTTAGACGTCTCACACGTGAGTTCTTCATCAGACCAACGCTGTCCGAGACAAACATGTCATTTGTGGGATTTGGTGAACAGCAGCCAGTCTCGTGTAGGAACCAGCTGTCACCCGCTGAGGTTCTTCAAATCCTTCTTACATTAGTGAAATGAGGACTGTGAAATGAAATATGAAGGGTTTACTGGATTCACGCAAGGTTCAGCAACAGCTCAAAATTACAACAAAATTCTAAGATTTCAAAACTGACTGACACTTTTCTTGTAAGAGTTTATGTTAAAAAGATTTGCGTCTGCATTTTTCTATACAAAATCCACCAGCATTATCTAGAAAACAGGAGGTGACAGAAAACGAGCTGCAGAGACCAGCGGAGAGCAGGACGTCAGCCAGCAAAGGATCTCTGAGAGAGAGCTGTTGTGATAAGTACGCTGTTCAAGCACTGAAAAGGCTGGCCTTTAGCTTCACACTTTTGTAATTCAGCCATTTGAAATAATTCACTGTATGCTACGTTATGAGTCTCAGTGTTAAACCATGGAGTATTAAAGGTCAAACGAATGGCTGTTTCTGCTTGTGTCCTAGTGAGTCCACTAATGTGAATCTCCCGGGGAGTCGTGAATAGACGAATGATGAGAGATCTAGACGTGGTCAGTGATCAGAAATATGCTACCAGTTGTAACCAGCCTGTATGCAGCTGGAGAAACCAGGGTGCTGCAACTAAATGTGATGTTTCATTATGGAAATGCCGCTTTGTGGCGTGCTCTGTTGAATAATAACTTCCAGATGTCTGGGTAGCCAGGGGCTGGCTGAAATCAAAGCATGCAGGGTTTTGGGAAGGCAGTGGCGTGGAGGGGAAGAGCTGGGACCGCCGCCAGCTGGCTGAGGCTGATGGCACCAGCGCTGTAGGGCCGCATCCATTTCACACTCAGTGACTCCTGTTCACATGGCATCGGTGTGCTTATTCCTGTGTGTGTGTGTGTGTGTGTGTGTGTGTGTGTGTGTGTGTGTGTGTGTGTGTTATTTTATTGTGAGAGATTATGTTAGATCAAGTGTGAATTATGCTAATTTAGCATACATTTTTAATGCTGTGTGTGGTCTATGTGTGGCTGTCCTTTTGTTAAGGGCATGACTTATCTCAGACTTGGAGCATGGGTTTAATCTGTGTGTGCCCTGTCTGTGTGGGATTACGGAACATACCACAACCTTTAAATCTCTAAAATCCCAAAAGTTGTTAAAATTTCTGTTTTAACTGGTTTTACTTCTGCTGGTCTGTCGTAATGGTTTAATTAAGAGCATCAACACCTCTCTTTAACTTCTCATATAGTTTATTTTCAGTTTCATCAATTTTTTTTACTTTTTTTCTGTTAGTGTAAAAATAAAAAGACTCAGGGATGTAGGGAGTGATCAAAGTTACAGTATAGCAGGAGAACAGCCTGCTTAACTCACAGCCAGCCCTGATGGTGCAGCATTTTCTCTGTCAGATTTTATTCCTCCATTATTTTTGCCGTTCATGTCTCATCAAGAAACTCAGCAGTACCTGTTTCCATTTAAAGACTAAAGGATCTAATGCATGACTTCTTCAGGTTAGCGGAGGGCAAAGGTGTGTGTGTGTGTGTGTGTGTGTGTGTGGGGGGGGGGGGTCACATCTGCTTCTGACAGCTCTTCTCCTCATCCATTTTTGTCCATCTCAAACATATCTGTTTCACCTCTGCTATCCCTGATGGCAGCAGTGGGATGTGGGCCAGCCATGCCCTGCAGTCAACCTCACTAAGCCTTCCTCTATCTGAAGGAAAAGAATACATTAATCCAGACTCGGATCACATCTGTCTCATCCCACTCTGCTGACAAACCCAGTTTGTGCACACAGGCATGTCGTTGTGCTTGGCGGAGGTTAGTCTCCTGAATATGGACTGACTGTAAAGGTTGATATTCCAGTGGATTTGTTACACACTGCAGCAAACATTCTATCTGCAACATGTTTGAAAAGCTAGGTTATCTCCTTTTTAAGACTGACAACAGCGTGCAGGTGGAGGACAGGCTGCTGGTGCTCCATGGACCGTAGCATGAGCCTGCTGCTCCATAGCAGGCAGGATCAAGGCGTGTTATCCAAAGTCCAGAGCTCCCCTCATGGTCAAATTAGGGAATGCTGCTGTGGTGTTGAAACTAATGTAAAAATGCTGCACTTCACCATGTTGTAACATTACTGGCATAACTTCACATATCAGTCACATTTTGTTGGTATTCGGTGTTAGTGTGTTCCTACAGCTACTCATTCAGCACTCAGATCAAATGCTGTGTTCAACTTTACTCACATTCTTAACTCATTCACTGCCAGCCGTTTCCTGATCAGAAAAGCACTTTGCTGCCAGCGTTTTTCAGCATTTTTACAGTTTTTTAAAGACTCGCAGAACGTTGCGCTCTATGATGATGTCAACACCAAAACAAACAAATCAAAGAGGAGACTCACCTCTTACATCAGGAAGAATCTGTGCAGTTCGAGCGTTATCTGTTCTTTCATAATCCGTTGTCGAATTGTGATCGACAGAAGCTTTTACGGTTCATGCCTCACTTTTTTACGATTTCCCACCTAACACATGGATTTTCTGCTTCCTCATCACGTGACGTGTGACGTATGTGGATAAAGATCGGCTTTAGAGCTGAGATGTTTGTTCTCACGGTGCAGGGGCTCGTTCCGACGCCCACACAGAAAAAAAAATGCAAATGACAACTTTAGTCGTCAGTGGCAGTTAACGAGTTAATACATTTGCAGCAGTCTCTGGTAGGAATGAATGCCTTGTAAGTCATATCAGCTCTGGTGCACCTGTTTGAGAACGTTGAAGTCAGCTGGAGGAGAAAGTTGCAGAAGATGGCCAGATTTGGAATCTTATTTCCTGGTATTCAAACATCTCGTCTCTGATTGGCTTGTAGCAACAAGACCCTAGCATTGTGTTGGGTAATTTAGGAGTTCAGTCCAGGATTACCTCAAAGAAAGTTCAACACACACAAGGGGGTTAGAGTTATCAGGTTTTATATCAATACCAATAACCAATAATCAAACACCAATCAACAATGAGACTTTGCAAAGTCGGAGAGATGAAAGATACTCACCAGTCGGTAGTCATTTCGTTCTCTCGTCCGGCAGACGCCTTCAGAAAGGTTTTATTAAAGTTACACAGCACACACACATTAAAAGATAAACGCACACACATCGTTCTCAGACTCTCACCCAGGGAGAAAACATTCCCAGGTACTTGGTATAACAAAGAAGCTGTAGTCTGGACTTTCTCAAGGGAATTCTACTGATAACAAGACCTGCACCAGTCCTGGTAGCAAGGCCGAAGTCGAACACCTCCCTGTTGGAGCTACAGAGTAAAAAAAAATAATAATAATGAGGATGAAACCTTCGTTTAACTTCAACACCAGATGTCACACGGTCAAAATCATTTCAATAATGTTTTTATCCAACACATTGACTCTGTTTGCTTTGCAACGCTGATGTTTTTTCTCCACAAGAAACACAAGCCTGAAGGAGTTCTGCTGTGTGGTGTTTTTGCCAATGCTAACAGTTAGCTTTTACTAGCCAAGAAATTTTCTGCTGTTTCTTGGATGCTAAACCAACAACATCCTCCACTGTTGCGAGTCAAAATGGGTGAGTCCATGACTGGTAATATACAGTGTGAGGTAAATCTGTCAGGCGTCTCTAAACTGAAGCCCCCTTCAGACACGCCATGAAAAACGGAAATGTTCCGGACTCTGTCCGTAAGACCTTTGTGTCTGAATACAAACATCTGGATAACTTGTTCCAGAATTTATCCGGACGAAGCCCCTAGTAACAGGTCCGGACATGTTACGGACAGAGTGGCTGCTTCAGACTGGTGAGGTAAAGTTCCGGACAAGGTGGAAGGGGAGGAGGAGGGGACCGGGGGACGCTGTGCTCACCTAGATAACCCTCTGCTGTAGCAAGCGGCGAACCACTGCAGCTCGCCTCCTACTGTCACGGTGTAGGAGGTGGAGACGGCGGACCATGTGTGGATTAGCTGAGCAGGAGGTAAAAATGCAGGCTTCAGTAAAAGTAAAAAAATGGTTTAATGGCAGGATGGGATGAACAGGAACACCAACAAACAACAACAATGAACTGACAAAGGACAGGGGCAAAACAGGTGGTTTAAATACAGAGGGCTAATTAGGGAAACATGGGCAGGTAAACGAGGGACAGGTGAGAACAATAAGGGTAATCATGGCAGGAGAGGAACACAGTCAGGCGGGCAGGGGCAGATCGTGACAGTACCCCCCCCCCCCCCCCCCCCCCCCCCTTAAGGGCGGATACCAGACGCCCATAAGGCCACACAACACAGGAGACGGGGACTCGAAGACTGGACAGGAGACGGGGACTCGAAGACTTGACTGGACAGAAACGGGACTTGACTGGACAGAAACGGGACTTGACTGGACAGAAACGGGACTTGACTGGACTGGAACGGGACTTGACTGGACTGGAACGGGACTTGACTGGACTGGAACGGGATTTGACTGGAACGGGACTTGACTGGAAT